GGAATTCTGTTGAGGCTCAAAGAGGACCTATTAGCCAATAGGACTGACGTTCTATGTGTATAATGTTATTTTTGAAGATCACATGTTTTTTTATTTATCTTTTATTGGCATATAACATGATTTTGCTCCTTTTAAATGTCCCTCTTCTGAGCAGAGATGAAACTCACCATGGGGTCACAGTTCACTTGTGTTTTTTTGCGGTGCATGTAAACATGTTTTACTGATGTTACACTCAACAGAAATCTTATTTGATGGAATGAAACAGGATTATATTTCCGTTCAAACACATCAGGCTGTTTCTCAGCAGAAACTTCATGAGATCTCTCAAACTGGAATCCATTTTTCATTTTTTTTCAACTTGAATGCTCAGGTTTTATTTATCTCGTCTCCTTGATTTTGAACTAGCGACAAACTGGAGGACTTGTCTCCAAGGCTGGATTTTAGATCTCATTATCGCTTTTGGATATTTAGTTTTGACTGCTGCATTTATTCATCCCAAACAGAAGCAGGGAGGGACCCCAGCGAGCCTGTTTAGACTGTTTGAGAATTTAAAGCTTCTAAAGCTGCTAAATCAGACAGAAAACATGTAAAGGAATTAGACAGACCAGCTGTCCAGTGGGGCAGACTGTTCCTTTGAGGTGATTCTTTTCATTTTGGGATCTAGTGAATTACCTCGTTTGTTCAGAGCTGACCTTGTGCCCCCATCATCCAGTCATAGTAAATGAATCTGTATCTGTTCTTACAGTCAGGAGGAATCATGAGGATCTGAGGTTTCTTTTCTAACCTCATTCTGTGCACATAAAGGTAACGCAGCATGCTGACAGATGCATGCTCTGCTGAAACAGATTATCCTTTAGTTTGTTTACAGTTATATATTCTTTATTCACCTCCAAACGTTGAGGCCAGATCTTGGATAAACGCCACACCCAAGGTCATAGTTCCTGGGTTCTGTTTGCAGGGTTCAGATGGGAATATTTCCGTAGCCAATAAACACTTCAGTCACTCCAGCACTTTGTCTGATATCTCAATAAAGCTGTTAAATCAAAAGGAGTGGTACATTTCACAATTATAGTGAGTTAGAAAAAAGAACTTTAGAACGTGAACAACTATGAGTATCTTTAGTAAGTTTTAAACCACCAGACGATCCAAGAGAAACTGCCTGACACTGTTTTCTATGATGGGCAGTCATATTTTTGGGAAACTTCCGACTTTCCTAAGGGGAATTCTGACTTCATGTGGTTAAGTGTTTTGAATTAGAGGCAAGGAACTTGGACTCCAACTTATCTGGTTTTTCATAAGTTGTCAAAATCTCAATTTTCTATAACGTGAAAAGAAAGATTAATGGTTACAGTAGCAGCCATTCAAAATGGCCCTTCCCAGTCAGATGCCAGCCGAACGGCAGCCCACTTCCCTCCAACTCCCAGTGAAAATCTTCCAACTTCCAGCCATTGCAGTGACCCCTTCTTGCATATTTTTTTTACTCTGACTCCATCCTTTCACTGAATTACAGGGTCTGACCAGGAGATGACTTAATCAGGAGTGGACTTAATGTCAAATCATGACAGAAGGAATATTTTAGTACAAATGTTGATGTTTAAAAAGGAATCGTAGGGGACCAGCAAAGGGCCCATCAAGGAAAGTTGTACAATTTTGAATGGCTTCTACTGTATAGTTAAACTCTTTAAACATTTCCCAGATATTGACAGATCTATTGTTTTCTATATGGGGGATTTAGACCCTCCGTGTTTTCCGCATTGCTTAGGTGGGTGGTTCCCACACTTTTCCTCTCTGGGCTCCATTTTTACTTTTCAAGGTTTTCACCTTCCTTCTTTTTTTCAGACATGCAAACACAAATAAAATGACTGTTTTAATCAGCTCAGTTGTAACCTTGGACATTTCTATAATGGATTTTTGCAGTTTTGTACTTGATTTTTTTTTAAACGTAGCCAAGTGTGATGAAGGACACTCCTTTCAGCAGCTTAGGGCTCATGTTCACAAACTGAAGGAAGCAAAAGCCAAAATTCTCTGATATAAAGTCCTTATTTAATGCAGAACAAAATGACCTTTCAGCTCAGTGTCAGTCTGTGTTTGTGTGAAGGGAGGAATGACCGTACGCTGCCACAGGAAGGGGGGATTTTTTTTGTGTCAACTGTGATTGTGCTGCTTTTATTATTGGTGTCAAAAGACAAATGAAATTTAAGTTTGTTCGACTGGTTGGTTTTTATAAGCAGCTGCACTGCATTTCCAAAAAAGCTTTTCCTGGGGAACGCACCGTCCTCATCTTGTGGTTTCTCTGTCATGTGATCTTATTCAAACGTTCTCTCCAACAAAAACGCTCAAGGCCTTTTAACCCTGGATGGAGGAGGATTTCTGTCCAGGTTTTGGTTCTTGTAGCAGATGTTTGTTGCATTGGCAACATCGATGGAGCATTTTTCCTCTTGTAGAGTCTAAGCTGCTGCAGCGTAACAAAGACATCATCCTCATCTTTTACTTACCTTTCAGGGGACAAAAAACAAAAACAGTCCTCTTTTGTTCTTTACCTTTATTCTTGAAAAACGGATAACTAGTCTGAAATACATGAAACATAGAACATGACGGATATCGTTTAATTTTTTTCTTTTTATGCTGTTTTTGAATAAATTTCTCCGGTGCAGCTTGCTAACTCGTATTAAATTGCAGCTCATATGAAGCTAAAATAAGTTAAAGTTTCTGAAGACTGAAGTTTGCACTAACTTGGACTTTTCTGATTAACTGGAACAGAGTAAATGAAGGATGCATGCAGCGACTGAATGAAAAGGCTTCGGCTTTAGGTTCGGTTATTATTGAATTAAGCTGATTTTTTTCTGTTTGTTTGTTTGATTTGTGAGACGTCTGATTGGACATTTCGTTTGGCAGCAACACGTCAACAAGAACGAATAACTGTTTGTCTCGTAAGCTTTTATGTGAAGCATCTTGATCTTGGTGTCGTCACTGTTAGCATTGCTCAGATGATCCGACCTCGGTCGACTTTTCTTATCGTATGGAAAAAACAATCGATAAAAATGTATGTTTACTGATGATGCGACTAAGCTAAAATAAGATTTTGTTTTGAATAAAAATGTATTTATTATTCTTTTATGTATCGTTGAAAATGCCATGGAAACAATTCTCTGTTTTATTGTTGAGGTAAAGAGCAGTGGAACTGTAAAAGCTGTTTTTTTTTTTTTTTTAAGGGCTGCCTTTACTACAAATAAATGCTTTCCTTACCCCCCGAATGTGTTTGTCTTGTTTAATAAGGACAACTACCATTACTATCATTAGTAAATCTGCTCCCAGCTGGATCCAAAGACTGATGCTATCTCTGCCACATAGTTTAACAGTTAAAAAGATACTACAGCTGATACTACAGTGTATCCCATGTTTTTTATGCTTATATGCATTGACCTACATCACAGGAAGGGGCAGGGTGATATACACTTAAAATCTTATCATGATATTGGCTGAAATCTGGGTGATAATGATAAAACGAGAGAAAAAAAAAGTCTTTCTTAAGTGATTTTAGTGCTGTGAAATAAAAAAAATGTATTATGTAGTTTTCAGTTGAAATATTGAGTACTTAAGGTTATTTTGGGTTTTTTTATTTTCAGTTTCAGATATGCTTAGTGTCTTTATACACTTTCTGATGTTGATAGCCCCTCCCCTTTGGCTAGATCTAAGCCTTACTGTGTATATGCAACAGAGTTTCCGTGGGTCATTAAAAGTCTTTAATTATTTTTTAAATTAAGGCCTTAATTGGCATTAAAATTGAAAAAATGTGATTATAGTGGCATTTAAAATACTTTATTTAAAAAAACAATTGTTCATAAAAATGACATCAATATCAGATATAACAGTTTCAGGTGTTTGTAAGGAAGTGCTTCCAGTTGATCGTAAACCTGTATGTTCAGAAAAGAAGCACGAGCCTGAGAAAAAGCTGGAGAACGGGAAAAAGCACGTGGCTGGAAAACATGGAATTCGGGACATGGCTGCAGCCTGTAGACGGTGAAGAAGACGAAGGATTTTGCCCTGGTTTTAAAAGAAAGAAAGATAGATAGATAGATAGATAGATAGATAGATAGATAGATAGATAGATAGATAGATAGATAGATAGATAGATAGATAGATAGATAGATAGA